ATGTCAAGCACATACACTAGAGAACACGGACGATACTAACGTCTACGTTTCCCCACAGGCTGGTCCTGAGAGGAACACGGATGATTTGGTGCAGCAGCTTGTGGAGCAGGATGATCTTGAGCAGCATGACGGTGAGGGCAAGAGTGCGGTGGGTAGGACAGGACGGCGCAAGGTCATGCCACTGCTGGGTGTGCTACAATGGGCCACCTTAAGACGTGTTGGTACGGATACGCAAACACCCGCAGCTGGAGAACTGTCGACTGTTCAGCTGCATGTCCCTTCACAGATCTTGCCAAAGGCGATGGTATTGAATCTTAGGTCTTAGCTCTTAGAGCTTAGTACTTAGCACTTGATAGACGGTATTTTATAACTTAATTTATACAATACAACTTATTCTTTTTTTATAAATTATAAATTATAAGTTATAAGTTATAAGTTATAAGTTATAAGTTAGAAGTTATACAAGCAAAGTATAATACATGATAGAATTACATACGGTATATTCATACGGTATATTTTATATAAACGGTATATGATTTATATAATTTATATAAACTATATTAATTAATAAATATATCATATTATAATATATCATATTATCATATTATATTATATATTAAAATATATAATATAGTATATATATACATATAAGTATATTATATATAAATATAAATATAAAATAGAGCCTCGAACTTAGCTTTACGGGTTTACTTGGTACTTAGTACTTGGTAACACCGAGCCCACTGAGACTCGCAATAGGCCAATACGGCGACACTACTGCACAGAACGAACAAGTGGACATTGGCCGGCTGCGACAATGCTTCTGCTTTTCTGGGAGGTCCGGAAGCAGACAAGATGCTACACGACATCCCCATCCGTGTGGTTGTGTCCTGTGGAACAGTTGAAGTTGGAGTAATATGTCATGTTGTGCGTCAGAGTTTTCTTCAGAGTAATAGTAATAGTCATAGTCATAGTCATAGTCATAGGACTCATAGGCCGCGGCATAGGTCATAGGAATCATTGTCGGAATCATAGTCTTGTCATGGTCGTAAAAGTCATAGTCATAGTCAGCGTCATTGTGAACCATAGCAGCATAGGCATAACACGGCATGTAACGTTTCGAGAGACGGTGTGGGAAATCTTGTACAATATAAAAAGCCCTCCGGGAGTCCTACGGTATACAGGATCCGCTGCACTTGTTGGCTAAGTTATAGGCAGTTCTAGGCCTGGGTTTAAACAGTCAGCTAATTTGACCCCGTAAAGACTTCCTTTCTCAGGCACTGATGCGCTGACTGCCAACGTTTCGCTTGCTGCCCTTGAACAGCGAGAGTATATGAAAAAAAGAAAGCACGAGCGGAGCATCACCGCACCATTGTACCTTTTCTGCTGCCACCACCAAGCTGCCTTGGCAAAGAAACCTATGATCCTCAGGATCAAAGATGTGGCCACAGGTCGGGAGTTATTGCTATAGTCTAGTTCATAGTCGATATAGTTAAAGTCTGATTTATTGGATTTATTGGTATGCATTTATGTCACATAATTTTATATTACTTTGTGTTTTCATAACATACATAAACTATTTTTTTAAGTATTGTTACTTATGGTGTAACTTAACTTATACTGATACTGATGATATAATTTAATTGATATGATATGATATGATATGATATGATATGATATGATATGATATGATATGATATGATTTCATGATACTTATGACTCATGACTTATGTTGTCTTCAGGGTTGTACACTTTTAAATTTAACACTGCAATTTAGCGTACGTCGTTCCTGGGCCAATTACTTTAGTTTAGATTAGACATTGGGAAGATTCGAATTAAGTTACTCAGTGATACAGTGATACACTCATATGATGCTGTTGTTGGGCACCCTGGGGAAGGACTTGTACGCTTCGCAAATGCCACCAAGGGGACACAGTTCCGGCAACGCTTGGACAATGTCTTGACATGCTTGGTTCAACAGGCACACCGACAAGAGGTGACAGCTTTGCCAACCTCCATCCAGGAATGTCGGAAGCGACATGCTGTGCTACTGCAGGTCTGCAGCACAGAAATGTCTGAAGAGGACCGTGAGCTTATATTGACCATACTCAACACTAGTTGGTTGGATGCTTTTCAACCTGGCCAAAACTTGCAGCACATTTGCGAGCCTGGTTGTTGCGCGAATGACGCTGTATTCCGCGTTCGCCTTCACAAGGTATTGGATTGTATGTTCAGCCATCTGTTTACGGCGCCCCTGTTGTATCGGTGGAAAAACTTCGATGGTGCATGCGAGTACGTCGCACGGGGGATGGTGGTGCAAAACCTGATGCGTGCAGTGTGGGCAATGTGCAAGAACGACAACGCAGATTTCGTGGAAGAGCTTCAGCAGGCTACGATGGATTTGGACAATCCAGACAACAACCCATCTGCATGCCAGCAAGTCAGAGTAGCCAAGGTCTTTCAGCTTTTGTGCGAACCAGATGCGACGGCTGCTTTGCTGAAGGACGATAGCCGATAGCTGAGTAGCTGTAGCTGGTTCGGGATAAGTTCGGGATATGTTCATGATATGATATGCTGCATGTTGGGATAAAGGCTGCATTCTGGATATAATATAAATGATATAAATGATATATATGATATAAATGATATAAAAATACAAATATGGATCCCTTATCTTTGTGGCTTCTAGACTAAGACTTTCCAGATGGGACTCGATGGCCGATCAATTGAAGAAGAAGTTATTAGTTATGTTACGTTATTATTATTAGTTATTAGTAATTAGTGTTTAGTTATTAGTTATTTTTATTTTTAGTAATTATTAGTTTTGAATTATTTTAGTTATTAGCTATTCTTATTTTTATAAAGTTATAATTCTAAATTACTATTATTAGTTTTATTAGTAATTCGGTTATAGTTAGTAGTAGTAGTTATTAGTTAGTAGTAAGTAGTTAGTAACAGTAGCTACTAGTTAAGCTATTACTTGTTAAACAAGTTAAGACAAAACAAGATAGAGTGTTAATTGTTGTTAGTAGTTAGTAGTTATTATTTATTATTATCGTAATAATACTATGTTACTATGTTTATTACGATATTCGTATTTACTATTTCTTACGTCTGTATGGTTTCTAAGTTGTTAGTTATTGCCAAGTTATTGCCGTTATTACCTATTACTCTATTTACTTATTGCTAGTTACGTTGCAATATCGACAACATTTGTAGCTGCCTATGTGACTCCGGAGTCTGACTCTCTAGGCGCGTTTCCTTCAAGCTCTTCTGGTGACCCGGCCATTGACGGGATACATGAACCTGAAATGTTTATTGTCATGACCGGCTCTGCCTGTGTTGTTACATTCCCTCGCAATGTATCCGTTTTCATGTTTTCCAATGTGCAGCTGTCAAGCGTGCTAATGTTTCGCTAGCCCAACACTTAAAGAGGCATAGCCGCACCATGGCTTGCTTGTCACCCGTTCACTTGCAGCCTTGGCTCGATGGACACAGCATGGACAAGGGGTTGTAGCAACAGCAGAAATGGCAGCAACGTCAAACAAAAAATTCCAAGGGTACCGGCAACCATGAACCATGTGCACGACATCAATGAACTTGTTGCCATTACTTGGAGAGTATGGAGCTGACGTCTCCCGTGGTTACATTACAACCATGCACCATGGTCAGCCTTGATCGGCGGTTCGACTCGTAGTCCTCAGCCGCATGACGGGACAGAACTTTCGAGTTGCTGCAGAAATCGGGGGCAGCCTGCAGTATTGGCTTGATTCGGTTTGATTCGTGCGCTCAGAACTGCAGGAAGTTTTCGTGGCAAAATATGGCGCGGAAGGCCACCGCAAGGGACGCCAACACATCCAACATGAGATGTACGGTCGAGAGCAGTAACACTCGCATATCCAACGTACCCTTGCCGATGGTGTAAAAACATGATCATGCTTGGCACTGTGCGTAAGAATTAGGAAAAGGTTTTTGACTTGCTGGAGGCTTTAGCGAGCACTTGCTTGCTCCTGGCTATTTCGACATCATGGGTGGGCGTCCACACCCTATCTTCCAGAAGTGTGTGGTGTGATGAACGTTCCACGATGCGCCTGGTTGAGGGAGTTTTGTTGTTATTGTGACACAAAATTTACTATAACTGTCCAACCAATTGCGAGTTGCTATCCAGCCAGCATAGCCAGATGGTGCAGGCTACACAACATATCAGATGCATCACGTGTAGTTGTAATGAATACAAGTTTATACACATTTATAAATTCATATTCATAACGTGTGGTCTGTAAAATTATCTATATATAGATATAGATACAGATATAGAATCAGATATAGATATAGATATGGATGGATATAGATATAGATACAGATATAGACATAGACATAGACATAGACACAGACACAGACATAGACATGGATATAGATATAGATATAGATGTAGATATAGATATAGATATAGATATAGATATAGATATAGACATAGATATAGATATAGATATAGATATAGATACAGATATGGAAAAAGATATGGAGATAGATATGGAATAGGTAAAGATATAGATACAAGTATAGGTATAGATAGAGATAGAGCTAGAGCTAGAGCTAGCGCTAGAGCTAGAGCTAGAGATGGAGATGGAGATGGGGATGGAGATATAGATATAGATATAGATACAGATATAGAAAATCGTTATAGAAAATAGGTATAGGTATAAAGATGCAGATATAGACTTCGATATAGGTGTTTGCACACATACATGCATAGGCTTCGCACCCCTGCCTTCCAATCCCCCGTGGAATTAAGCTTCTGAGTTTAGTTCCTCCCCATTGTGGAATGGTGGTGGAGTTTAGGTTGTACCTACATGTTATCATGCCCTCGCCCCTTGTGGAATGGCTTTCGCAAGTGCACTGGGCTCGGGCAAGAAGGTGAGCGTCGGCACCAGGGGCCTTCACTCTTGTGGTTATCGCCCTTGCCCTTACCCTTCCTTTGCCCTCTTTGTTGGCATTGTTTGCCTTCGGAGTGTCGTTCCCCTCCCGCCCTGTGGAAGCTTGCGGGTTTAGGCTGCAGGGTTGAGGCTTCGGGGTTGCCGTTGGCCGGCAAGTGCCGGCAGTGGGGGGATCCCATGCGGGACCTGGGGCGGGGAAAAGCCCCCCACGCATGGTCGATCGTCCACACCAGGGCATTCTCAGTGTATCCCCAGTGCGGGTGATGGGGCGGGGAGAAGGACGCAGTAAGCGCAGGGCACAAACATGTCTCTGTGTATTGTATACATGTATATAATGTATTTCAACATATACCTTTGTTTCTGTATGTGCGTGTATATATATATATATACATACATGCACATAACCATGTATATGTCTAAAAATGAAAGCAAAAGATACACAGTAATCAAGTAACCTACGCAGCCGTGATGACGGGGCTTGTTGGACATATATCCCATGGATCATGCAATCGTTCCGATTTTGGTCCTTTTGAGGAACCATGCCCTGTTGGGTGCTATCCCAAGGTTGCACAGTTGGCACGAGCTGCAGAGGCCGGATTCCTGTTGATTATGGTTCATGCAAAATCATTAATTAGTACAACCTGGAGATCATGCTGATTGCAGTTTGCAGCGAACGCATAGACAGGTGGATTCAGAAAGGCTACAGCACCGCTCGGTCGCGACCGCAGAATGCGTAAGCCAGGTCACCACCTTCAAAACGTAGTGGTGCAATTGCTGCTAAAGCCACTTTCTTGTGTTCTCCGGTGCTAAATTTTGTGCTGTTTCATGAATGTTTTGCCTGCCTCCGAGGTGGTACCTCTTCTGACATGGGCAAATGCGACGGCATGGATTTTGCTTGCGCTTCCCCACATGGCAAGGTCCAGCGCAGCACATGCCATGAACTCAAGCCCGGAACTTGATCACGCAGACAGAAAAGTTTTCCCACACGTAGGCTTTTGCGGCATCATCACCTTGGAATCGGCCAACTCGATTAGAGTCTAGAGACCGTGCGAAAATTTGCAAAGGCAATGCAACGTGGTAAATGGATGTGGGCGACCCATTGTCATTAGACTCGTAGACATGCATGTGCACGTCATAACCATTCGGATGCATGAAGTACTGTATAGATACATCCATGCATCTATCCATCCATGTATGTATATAGCCATACATACATACATGCATGCCTACATATGGTGCGGGAGTACATTTCCTTCACAATCACTGCAGGCGCATCAGAGACAAAGTGGATATCCCAGGCTCAGGAGAACACTGCAAGCGGTCTGTTTCCCAAGTGGTTCAAGCAAGTCCAGACAGCACTGACATGAAATCTGATCGAGCCTGAGATGCTTTTGGTTTGTCCTTCCACCGCTGTTTCAGTTTCAGCCCCGTGCTTTGCATGTTGGAGGATCAGCCCAATCAGTCGGATGGATACCGCTTTTGCACCACTTCGACTGAGCGCTGCACTATGCATCGAGCCTCCCAGTACACGGCTCCTCAACAAGCATGGGATCCCAAAAGAAAAGAAGCAGCTGCCAGTGATACCTGGACTGGCTGAGCGACGAGGACCTTGTTCCGAAACGGGAATGGGAATAGCGAGGAGTATGGGTTAAGCGTCTTTAACCTTGTGGTTGTTGCTTGAGCGTGGTTTGAGGGCTGGGTCAGTTTTGAAGGTTCTGCATGATTTTGATGTTGAGGTCAGGCTGAGTTCGACTTTAAGCTAGAGCTCGAAATTCTGCCGTTCATTGAAGAGACGGCAACGACAGAGAAGCAGCAACGACCATGACTCGCTTCAGCTCCCAGGTGGCATCCCAGGCGGCACGCCCAGAAGCGAAGCTTCTACACCGCCCGGGGCTGATTGCACAGGCCCGCCTTAACGACCAGATGAATGTTGATGTGCAGATGAGCTTGCGTCCACGAGTGACCAGTTGAGTTTTGAATTTGAAGTTTTGAGTGCATGCGAATGTACAGTTCTTCTAACAGAGACCAGCAGAGATTCGTCGCCCAGCCAAAGAGATTTAAGCTGGTCATGCAAGGCCGGAAGTCCTGTATTGATGGCAAGGTGCCTCCAGATGGCTTATGGGCGGTGGCTTTGTTCAGTGTCTAAACGTGCAAAAGAGTGCACTCCGCAACTCAACGAAGTACCCGGCTCTCCAGACGGAAGTCTCGTTGTCAGATTGCGGACTGCCCAGAATGGTGGCATAAAGGCTCCAGAGAGAGAGCCCCAGCTGGTGCTTTCGCTCATGGAACAGGTCTCACCTCCGCAGTCACGGTGGACGTGTAAACCTCAGGCACTCCATGCCGCACCATGAAACTTCGCGGCATGGACTCCTGCAGGACACTGGGGTTGACACAGCTGCCAGTACATGTGGGGAAGATATCCCTAGCCAGCCATGTGTTCTCATTTCTTAGACGTCATCAGTAGGGAAGATGCTGCCTTCGCATACCATTGTTAAATTAGCCTGTATTCTCGTCAATGCTGTGCTTGCATCATAGAGGCTGTGGCGCAGGCTCCAAGATTATGGAGCTCTTGGGTGGCAGGCCCTGAAATAAACAAGGGCCTCCCGTCACGCAGCACTACCACACTGGTCCGCACTGGATGTCGTAGGACCTTGGAGATGCAAAGCTTTGTTTGGCAGCATCTTCTGAATTCAACTTTTCAGCTTCAATTTTTGTGTTTGACTGGTCGTCGAGAGGGAGTCGCTGTTTCAGCTGCTGATGCCTGACGGGCAACATTCCGCCAGCTTGCGAGTAGAACTCAAGTGTAGCAGCGAAGCATTGAATGCACCCTGATCTTCGAGGAAGAATCCCCGCCAGTCAAGTAAGCTTCGGCCGCCTCACTTACCTCTTCAAATTGTGACGCTGAACCAGGAACGGGAACATCTCCTGCATGATGTTACAGCGGACCACAACTCAAAGATGCCTTGTTTCGAAGCTTAGAAGCAGGAATACACCTGTGGGATTGGTTTAGAGACTGAGATGATGAAACTAATCAACATGTCCACATTGACATGGCTTTGTGTCTGGTATCCATACTCCACCGTGGGGTGTAGGGCAGTGTAGGGGATTGTGCAGACTGGACCCTTCATCACCTGGCAGCAGAGCGGAAAAGCAGCTGGCGTACAGACTTTCTCCTCGTGCACCCGTGGCTTGCCTCGGAAGTCGTGGGCCGTGCGCACAAAAAGCAAGGGATCATCTCGCAGCTCGACGAGAGCCGATAGCTCCGATAGCTGGGGGAGCTAAGTCCTGGTCTTCCTGTGCCTGTCCCTTCGCCAGGAGCCGTTATGCTTGACCTCGTGACCACGAAAGCCTTCAAGGCCTGAATCTGCGCAAGAAATCCACTATCATTTTGAACGAGAACATGTGCTTCAGAAAGAGTACCGATGTGAAGGAGGCGGGAGGGAGTTCGAAGTGGAATGTGAAAGATTGGTTAACCAGCGTGCGCAAGCTTGATGGCAAGACAAGGGCATCAAGGGCTTCGCGTGGATGTTGCGGCTGTTGCGGCAGCTACACATCTCCTGGATATTGTAGATGCATGTAGATACCGTAGACACGGCTTGACTCAGCGCGAGATGCAGCAATGCCCTCGACTCCAGGAAGGAGGCATCTTTAGACACTTCCGTTTCACAGCAGGCCTCGCATCCACCACGCTTCTTGGCTGATGCCTCAGTAGTGCATCCACCGGCTGTGCATCGGAGACGCTTCCACTGCATCGGCAATCATCGGCACACTCATGCTGCATGCTGTGTCCAACACTTTCCACAAGACCTCGCTGCTCATTCTGGGGCTCAACGCATTGGCACAGCATATGGTGTTGTAGACTGACGAGAAGATCGCACCCTCGATAGTCCCATCCCTGCTTTGCCCGTTGCCCAGCCTGGGATGGCCCTCATTTCGGCCCCTGGCCTTGCGTTGCCATGCAGCCCGTGGAAGCCTGCGAGCCTGAGCTCCAGGAACGGCTTCCCCTCACATGCCTGGGGGTGGGGCGCCAGGAGCGAACCGAGGGGCCAGCAAGGGGGCTTGGACGGCTTGGACTGCAAGAATTCCCGCGGGCAGGAAGTCTACCGTCGGCCTCGCGGGCTTGGTTGTGCTGGCCTGTCGTTCAGGCGAGTTATTAGCACTAGGCTACTTGGCATATTCCTTTCATGTCCACTCTAGGTCGCCGTGCTGCGTCTCGAGCTGGTCTTTCCCACACGTCTGCATCCGTGCCAAGCTGGGATGAGCTGGCCAGCCGCTCGTTGGCCAGGAGAGGGCAGGAGCTGGGGGCACGTGGTGGCATGACATGGCACGCAGAGGTGCTGCCGGGAGCCCCGCAGAGCGCATCTTCGAAGCCAGAGCCCGGCTTTTCGGTGCAGAAAAGCCTGCACTGAAGTTCTGGCACGACGCGGCTGGCTGGTGTCCACATTGCGGCTTCGGCTGGAATGGGTACCGAGTATCTGACCTAGCATGCAGGAAATTCTGTGGTTCTTCTCAAGGTGATTCTTCTCAAACACATACCGCAGTCGAATGTGAGAGTTTGATGGACTCCTGCTTTCGACAACTCTCACGGTTGGTGTCAGTGCTCCGTACTTGACGGCCCCATATCAGCATCCTTGGCTGCTATGCATTGGTAGCGACCGTGTCCATGGCCCCCAGATTCCCTAGATGCATGCAGATGCTCTGCACACGTTGTTTAAAAGCAAAGAGCCCTTCCCCCCACAATCTCCGCAACTTCGCGTGTTTTCTGTCCTTTCTTGGCAGCAACTTGCAGGGCTCTGGCTGCCTGCCTTCCAAGGCATGGTGTCCTGGGTCGTCCTGGAAGAAATGAAGATCCCTTATGTCATGGATACGACGCCGCTGAGGGCTTACTTGAGGCACTTCGATAACTCGATAACCCTTCAAGCTTACGCAGTGTGCAAGTTCCGAAAGCCTGAGACCCACGCCCGTGTCCGGGCAGGCCCGGTGAGAAGAAGCGGCAACGTCTCGTGCCGGTCATCCAGCTCTTGGATCAGGCAAGGAACCTCTTATTGACTCTGAGTTTGACCCCAAGAGGCATTTCCGCGTCTCCTCACTTGATCAGGAGAGAAGTAAGGGAAGCTCCTGGGTCTTCCAGTCGGCCATGCGAGACGTGGGCCGCGGGGAGCAGGCGGTCGTCAGAGTCTGCGAGTGAGGGAGACGTGGCTTGCTGAGAGGTCTGTGCGATGCTGGCAGAACGGTTTGGGACTTGGCCAGCGCGGCCGGAGTGGCTGGAGCTCTTCTCCAAGCTGCAGAAGGCCAGGCCGAGCAGGGGCGCTGCTTTTGCACAGGAAGACGGTTCCTTCGCCTTATGAGGCCCACTCGGCATACAAGCGGCTGCCGGGAGGAAAGCCAACTTGGGGCGTGTCTCCGTCCCATGGCCACTCGGCTTCCAAGAATGGCGGGGCCCGGTCCCGGCGAGCATCTCGGAGCTCAGGTCAGAAGGAAGAGGAGCTTTTGCCCTCTGCAGTTTCTCTCGAGTGAGACGTGAGCCGTCGCTTAAAGGAGCACCTTACTTCTGCCTTGGATGCTTTGGACGACGCCTTGGGCGCCAGCGAGGCCAGCACTTCACCGTCGACGCTTCTTGCCTGCCCATGCATCCCCCAGTGCAGGGCTCGTTTCTGGGCGGCGCGCGCCCTCACATGGTCGATCTCATGCTGCCGGGATGCATGGCAGCTACCAGCTGTAGATGTTCCTGTGAATCCTTCGACTCGACACCGAGGCTCCTGCCCATGTTGGAGCGGGTAGAGGCTCTGCTGCTGCATCCTTTCCTGGCCTCCGGGCCACGTCTGTCAAACTGGGCATCCATCTCTGAGATGCTGTCGACCGGTCGTCTGCCGGGCATCTGTTCCTTTGGTGAGTTGTGCAGCGATGCCGAGACACTCCTCGCCATCTCGCTGCGAGAGGACCCGGGCCGCACATCGCCGCCAGCGCTGCAAGGCAGCATCCTGAGCCGCAGGCTCTCAGTCTTGGAGGCAGCCGAGGCTGCAGCTCAACACTCGCAAGAAGCCTGCAGAGAGGCGGCCGCACGCATCTGCAGCAACCACAGTGGAATCGTCTCGTTCGCGTGCTGTGGTCGAGGATGCGGCCGTAGAACAGTCGAATCCAGGAAGATGGCAGAAACCTTTCCTGGCCACAACCCAGAGGTTGACTTGGCTTTGCGGCAGGTGGTGGAGTCCTTGCTACGAGCCGCTTGCAGACATGCGTACCCTTCAGAGCTCGAGTCGGCGGCGCGGCGTGCCGCTCGCTCCGCTCGCTCCGCACGTGCCGAAGCGGCACTGGCACCGCTCCGCTTCCTTTCTCTGAACATCGGCGTGCCACGGGACATGGCAGCTCTGCCGGCCGCCGCCCTCCGGGCGCACCTTCTGCTTCACCTCGCAGCTTGCGAGGGCGAACTGGGCCGCGGGCCAGCCAGGCGCCTCAGCCGGCCAAAGCAACGGCAAGCAGCGCCGTCACCGTCACAGTCGCGCCTGGGGCGCCCCAGACGCCCTGGGCTTGACGAGAAGCTCTCGGTGGCGAGCTTGTCTGGAAGACAGGGATCCAGTTTCGGTCGCCAGGGCAAAAAGGCGCAGGCAGCATTTGATTAGCATGTCGTGACTGATCCGCAGCCCCTTGCTTGCCAAGTTCATCGCCCTGACAACCAACTTCTCTTACATAGGCGTCGGGGTCTGAGAGAACTTATGCTGATGCACGTGTCTGCATTGGTCTTCAGCTCGAGGCACTGCACTTCTTGCCGGCCTCCCTCAACACGGCGATTTTCAGCAGCAGTCCCGCCCAGCTCCAAGCCTTTTTTCATTGTGAGAAGCACAGGATTCCTTCTACACTTCGATGAACCGGCTGAGGTCTTCACGCTGTTGCTTCAGACGGTGTTCCTACCCGAGTCAGGCGGGATGCTCTTCCTCGTGAGTGCGTTCTGGTTCTTGGTGCTGTGCCTCATACTAAAAGTGTGAACCGAGACAGCTGGTCTCCAGCAGCGTATCGTCAAACCTGCACAACATGCGCAGGGGGTTGCAGGCATGTGGTAAGATACCTCTAGCAGCAGCAGGAAAATTTCGAAGAAGAGCGCAGCTTGACGAGCTAAATATTCGTGCAACAGCATGAGAACAGGACCTTGGCAATTCACCCTTGCCCCCTTTGCCTTCGTCATGACGGGACATGTCAAATGTGTGGACGGACATCTGGTGCTCCTCAACATGATCACGGCAGGGGTGTGCGGTCAGCACCAAAGTTGCAGGCATTGCGCACGTTGAATCGCATTAACATGTTCCACAGCTGATCGCCTAAACGCTCCGGAGACCGCGGCTATTACAGTCATACGACCATGCGCGAGGACATTGAGTTGCCACAGTCAGCGTCAGGTGGACACGGCGACGCAGTGCGGGCCTTTTCCCGGTCATTGTGCCGCAAGCTCCACTGAAATCGAGCGCTGTTGATTTTTTTTTTACATTTTGCTAGTGCCAAGGCGAGCTCAAATCGATAATGGAAGACAAGGGATGTACAAAGGGGTTCTCGAGTACAAGTTCCACCTTAGACCTTTTTGGGAAAATGGCAGCAGCTCGTCTGACAGCTGAGGTTGCCCCCCAAAGATGGAAGGCAGGTGAAGCGCCACGCAGCAAGCAGCGAGTACCAAACTCAAGAGAGGTGCTGAGCGTTGGCCTGTCGGTGGTTATGGCCTGAGCTTTTGGGACCCCAAAACCCCTTTGTCCTTCAATGCCCTTTTTCCCAACTGAGGCCGGGGTCTTGCTCATAGCAGAGCCCTGGCACGGCTCCGCGAGAGGCCCGGCCGGGATCCCTCGCTCCGCTCCGCTCTGTCAGCTCTCTGTCCACCGGCGCCAGGCTCAGACCTCACCGAGGAGGAGAGGCCAGGAGAAGATACGGAGTCCGTTTTTTCGCCCCGGATGTTTAGTTCCCACCCGATTCCTCTTGACACGGCCACGACGCCCAGAGCCTGCCGCAGGGTGCTGGGTGTTCTGCTCTCCCTTTTCTCCGCTTTGGGTACGGCCATTTACCAGGCAGATGGATGTTTTTGGAGACCATTCTGAGTTTGCGACGAGTCCGATAGCAGGTTTACTTCAAACACACCTTCGGTGATTCGATGGGTCCAGATGAGGCTGGAGATGGGTTCATCCACCGTGCTGCCATGGCTTTGCATTTGAAGCTATGGGGGTATGACAACAGGGGAGATGCTTGACCGGTGCCGTTCAGGCCAAGTTTCGAGCTCCCACCACACAACGTAACACCTCATCGTACACCGAAGTTTAAGCTATGGTGGGGGCTGTTTTCTCTCCATGAACCGTCGCATAGCGATGCGACTGATGAGTCGCATTCTGAGATTTCTTTGGGATAGCTCAGACTCAGATGTACAGCGACTTTAAGCGCTTTCCTCCTCTGAGGCTTGCGCGCGGAGGGCAGCTTGAGGACGATCCTGCACAGGCCCGTCCTCTGTCTCGGTGTGTCTGCTTCTCTCAAGGGTCGTTCGAGACTGGCATTGTCTTATACCTTGGGCCGCCTTTGTGAAAGTGGAGTGTTGCTTTTATTCATGGTCGTGTCTGGCATTCTCAAGCTCGGTAGGCAGAGCAAAGACGTCGAAGACGCCTCAGCGATCCCGCAATGCCGGCCATGTCCAAGATCGCTGCTGCTGCTGCAGGAGCAGCCGCCGTCACTGCGGCCTCCGCCTTCGTGGCACCGAGCGCCTCCCCGGCGCGAGCCCAGGCCTCCTCCCTGCGTGGAGCGGAGCGCTCGGCGCGCTCCTCGGGCGCCGCCGGAAGCTCCCTGCCTCTGGGCCTGGGCGCCGTTGGCCTTGCCGCGGCCGTGCTGGCGCGCCCTGGCTCCAAGGCAGCCAAGACTTCCGGGCCTACGATCCTCAGCGCATACGATGCCTCCAACGAGATCGGAGCCTGCGACCCCCTGTTGTTCTGGGACCCGGTCGGCTACTGCCAGGATGGCTGCACCAAGGAGGACTTCGACCGTCGCCGTGCTGTGGAGCTGAAGCATGGCCGTCTCTGTATGGTCGCCACCATCGGCATGGTGTGGCCAGACATTTTTGGCAAGTTCGATGGCTACTTGTCCCCATCCCAGAATCTGAAGTTTGCCGATGTGCCCTCGGGAATCGCAGCCGTGACGAAGGTTCCTCTGGAGGGTTGGTTGCAGATTCTCTTGGTGGCCGGCCTCATCGAGACCCAGCTGCTGAAGGATCAGTCCTTCGGAGGCTTCGGCTATGCCAAGTACGGTGCTGAGCCCGGCAACTTCGGCACGGGCTACTGGGGCAGGAAGATCCAGGACCCTGCCGAGCGAAAGCTCAAGCTGACCACCGAGCTGAACAACGGCAGGCTTGCGATGATTGCCATGTCCGGCATGCTGATCCAGAACGGCCTCACTGGCCAGTCCCCAATCGAGCAGCTCACCGCAGGCCACTTCTCGCCCTTCAACGATGGCCAGGGCTTCTTCGCCTTCGACCCTTCCGCAGAGCTTGGTGCTTGCCCTCCGCTGGGCTACTGGGATCCCTTCGGCATGATGGCTTTCCAGGATGAGGAGAAGTTCCGCCGCAACCGTGAGCTGGAGTTGAAGCATGGCAGGATCTGCATGGTCGCTACGATCGGCATGATCGTGCCCGACCTCTTTGGCCGTTTCGGTGGCTATCTCTCGCCCAGCATGGACCTCAAGTTCTCTGATATCCCTTGCACCATCGAGGCCATCTACAAGGTCCCCACCTTTGGCTGGTTGCAGATCTTTGCTCTGGCAGGTGCCATTGAGGCCAAGAACCAGGCCTTCCCCGAGAACTATGGCTACCCCCCTTTCTGGGGCCGAATCAACACTCTCGAACCCGAGGAGAAGCAGAAGAAGCTGCTGGCTGAGATCAACAACGGCAGACTGGCTATGGTTGCCATGGCCGCCATTGTGGCACAGAACGGTGCCACGGGCCAGTCTCTGGTCGAGCAGTTCACCACGGGCAACCTGAACCCGTTCGTGGGCGGCTACGCGCAGAGCGAGACAAAAGGGGACAGGTTGCAAATGCGTGCCGAGTTCGGCTCCGGGGCTGGCAAGTCCACGGCCATCCCTTGGGATCCCATCCCAGAGGGCCTTAGCAACGACATCTTCAACAGCACCTACGTGGGTGATGTGGGCTTCGACCCTGCAGGCCCGGGACAGGTCCTCTAGGTGACGAGAGGTCGCCATGCATGCTATGCCCCCTGCTCCGCCCTGCTCCGCCCTGCTCCGCCCTGCTCCGCTTTGCATCGAGGCTTCGCCAAGAACCAGCGCCTGCTGCCTTGGTACCGAGAGGCGGAGCTGGCTCACGGCCGCGTCTGCATGCTGGCGGTGCTGGGCTACACGGCCCCTCGGCGCCCGAGTCGTCTTCGGGCCTCGATGTGTCACTGTGTATACGTCTTGTGTTTCTTGAGGTGCAGACTTCCGGCGCCAAGTTCGAGCCTTTCATCACCCGCTACCCGACCGACTCCGCGGATCCCCTGAAGGCGGCCACCCAGGCCGGCCCGTCTTGGGGTGTTGGGTAAAAGAAGATCGCCCATTGTGTCTCTCTGAGGTCCCCATCGTCGGTTGGCTCCAGATCATCGTTGTGATCGCCTTGTCTGAGCTATGGCGCTACGAGAATGCTTCTTGAACGGCACTTTTTATGGGCATTCAGAACCTTCCAAAAAACTTCTGACACTTGAGGGAAGTTTGTTCACCTTGCAGGTCATCAGCAAGTACTCTCAGGGTGTCCAGCCCGGAGACCTTGGCTGGAACCCGACGGCCCCGGTGAGCAGCCCCCGTCCCAAGTGGCCCCTCGCTCAGCTCACGTCAAACTTCCCCTAGAGTCCTTAGAGCATCCATCGGGGTCGCGCAGAGGTTCGGCCCCACCTTCACCGCCGCGTACCAGCCCGAGGAAGAGTGGGGACTGGGGATGGGGCCCCACGTGAGGAATGGGGGGCGGGAGTCGGTTGGGACGGCAGGAATGGAACAACATGAAGCTCCGTGAGATCAAGCACTGCCGGCTTGCCATGGTTGGATTCTTCTTCATGGTCCTGCGGAACGCCTCGACCGGCGAGAGCCTCGCGGGTCGAAAGGGATTTCTTTGGTGAGGCGTCTCCTCTTTTTTGGACTGAGGCGAGGGGCCATCGCTGCTCCCAAATTTGACCACTGCCGAGTTCCAGTCCTCCGTTGGCGACTTCATCCCCAGAGACATCTGAGCCGGCACGCGGCATACAAGCCCATACTGTCAAAAGAGTAAATGAACCGGCCAGGGCGGGAATGAGCAGCGGAGTTAGTAGTGTAGATGCTGACACAGAGTGTCAGGCAAGTTTTTGCCCCTCGGCCAAACCTATGCGCAAGACTCGAGCCAGCGTCCTCGTGCTTGCCAAAAAATTGCAGGTTGTTGTTGCTACCTGCAGGGTAGATTTAGTAGATTGGAAGATGCCGCTAGCACAATCGGCATCTTGTGACAGACACCCTTTGCCAGGTGCGGGCCACTTCGCGGTTGCGGCAGGGGGCCCGGATTCCCCCGAAAGCCGGAGAGAATTGCCCGCCAGCAGTATCTGCCAGAGGCTCACTGGCCGTCCTGATTGATGGCGACAACGTGTCCCCGACCTCGCTGCAGTCCGTTCTGCAGGCGACGGCGCATCCCAAAGATCGCATGCAGAGCTATGGCTGCAAGCTGGCTTGGAAATGAGCCACGCGCTACACGCCAGACATGTGTCACTTTCTTGTGTGGGCCGGCCCGAAACTCACAAGCGAGCGCAAGCGCAGAACAGCTTGTGGGGGAGTTGTATCGCTAAATAACATGCATACAGGTAGTGAGAGAATCTGCAATTCCTGAAGCATGATTGAGACTTCTCGTATGCAGAGTAGAGTGCCAGTGTATCACCCGGCCAGGCAGTGCGGTCGGTCGGCCAGATCAAGTACAGCCGTGCCCTTGGCTTTGCCTTCTCCATTAAAGCTCCCTGGCGTGTGACCACCCAATGCTCAGTGATATACATGTCGGTTCTTCCGGTGTGCAGCTGACCGTTTCCTGTTCCTTCCTTTCTGAGAATATTATATGCATCTTTCAGAACGACCCTTGAAGCATCGCAGCATGCAGCTGATCACCAGAAACCACCGCTGCTGGCACGGCTGGAGCACACCGGTTACCGCCTTCAAAGCCGAGGCCGAATTTATGTCAACCAGCACAAAGCTTAGGGCTCAGCAGCTGCTACTGGTAGGAGACAGATACAAAAAAACGGTATGAGGACCTGTTTTATGCATTCCGGAGGCTTTGCTCTGGAAGGACCAGCTCATAGAGCAAGGTTCGGGTTCCAGCATTGCGTGGTGCGAGCTGTCCGATCGGGAGTCCCCTGTAGAGGTATCGAGACGATCGTGGTGCCGCAGCTGTCCTCTGGGCTGAAGGAGACAGCAGAAGAGGGCTAGTGAGTGGCGGTTGGGAAAAGCAAAGGATTCCGGACAGTATCAGACAGAAATGTGCCGCAAAGTGGAGTAGGCAATCCGGTCGGGGGTGGACCTCCTTGAGCACGCTGTCAGTCGGACAAGCATGAGGCATGTTCAGAAATAGGACCCGGCAGATATCATGCTGGCTGTGGATGCTGTGGAGGAATGCTTGAAAGGCTGGAAGATTGAGGTTTTGCTTAAGGAAGATCAAGCGAACGATCGCCGCTTCGCTGTGCAGGCACAACCTTCGGCATCGCTGTCGCATCGGAGGTGCGGGCAAATGCACCGCGGCGCGTTTAGGTGGCAACTTCGCTGCCAGCGGCTTGGCGTCTCGAGGATGTGGACTTCGCCATCGTCTTGCGGAAGGCCGCGTCGTCCTTGACCCGGGCCCCGGACCCTTCGGGCCTTCCAGGTTCGTCAGCTCGGCCGTCGCTCCTATGCCGTGACCCCCGCGCGATCGACTTCGCGGTGCGACCCCAAGGATCTCCGGGACCATGAGCCTTCTTGAGCCTTCTTGAGCCTTCTGCATTTCGCTGCTCTTCGCTGCGCTTTCGCCGCGCAAGGTGTCAAGAGCTTCTGCGCTCGGCAGCAGACGAGCTCCTGCTCTTCGGGGAGCGTCCCAAGATCAGCAAGGCCCGCCTTACCGCACCGCTCCAAGTTCGGGGTGGCGATGTGCGTTTCTGGAGGCAGTGAGACAGTAGTTTTCCGATGGGCAAGGCTTTGAAGGGGTACTAGGTGGCTTTTCGTGGCACAGGTGGCGGACCATTTGGACACGTCGCGCCTGGATTCCGACGTGGAGCTGGCGGAACAGGTTGGACTTCTTAACCCGACTCCGTCTGCACGCTCTCAGAGCGACCGCGGCTCTGGCCTTGAACGCGGCAAGGCGGACCTGGGGGACCAGCCATTGACTGAAGAGAGGCAGAGGCTGGACATTTTCAGTGGCCAAACTCCGCCGTAGCTGCAGGCTTCTGTGACGACAGCAAAACATGCACAGGAGCATGGAGAAGCTGGAGGAGCTGTTGCAAGAACTTGGCTACCTGCTCGAGCCCCGGCCAAGTAGCTTAAGCTGTAGCTTTCCGGGAGGATGACAGCTGCGACTGCCCTGTCAGTGCAGGCCCAGACCACCCCAGCGCGGTCCGTGGCTCAGTGCGGAGATGGAACCTCCTTGAACTGCCGATTTGGTTGCAAGCACAGCGACAGTGTGAGTACAGCGCATATCCAAGCATCGCCAAGCGACAGCGGCCCAGGCGTTATGGTAGCCGCGCTGGCCAAGTTCTTCCACGCAAACGGGTGGCGGACCTGGTAAGTCCTGTTGGCTCTGAAGCCCGGATGACAGCCACATGGAGCCACAAAAGTAGTGACTGCGCTTCGACGGATTCTGCAAAGAGGCTTGGTCGGCTAACCATCCGGCCTCTCCACGAGGGCCTCACGCAGGCTCGGAGTGAAAAAGCGCCGAAATGGGGTGTTCTCCGCACCTCCGCCAGGCCTTCGCGCTGATGGAAAGGCCACCGGCTGGAGGCAGGGCCGGCAGCACGGCATCGCACGGCCCTCCGCAGTGTCAGAGCAGCTCTGCAACTGCTGCAACTGCAGGTTGGGCTCCCGATCCCAAGACTTTGGTGTTTCTGAAGCTGGCAACTCAGGGCTGATCAGGCGCTCAACTCGGATCAACGTGGTTTCTTGATGTCTATAGAGTGTTGGGTGCCGCAGCATTGGCTGGTACATCAAAAGGCAGCCTGTCGACATCCAGCCTCATGGAGTTGCTAGTTCTTCTGCTGGCTCTTCAAAGTCTACCGCTGGCCATGTGGGCGTGCATTGCCTGGAGAGGGGTTGCTACCAGTGCGTCTTGGCCGTACCCGCATATTGCAAGGGAGGGGCGCATTATGTTGGTTCAGTTTATCGCTTGAGGATTTCGAGGAAGTTAGCAGTGACTGGGTTTGTGTTGAAGACTCTCGAGGCATGGAACAGTTCTCCCAGCTCCTCCGGTTCCCTTCCCGCAACTCGACCCGTCGATGCGGCTTTCCTCAGAGCCTTGATCTGGCATGGAGTTTTTTTTTTTTTTCTGTCCTGTGCTTTCTTGTGCGTCAGGCTCTTTGCTTACAGGAAGTCGTGCCATTTCACGAAAGCTAGGCGGGAGTTGTCGTTTACCATTCACTTAGGACTTACGTAGATAATAGAGAACTGTGACAAAATTCATTTGTTCAAACCCCGGTGCGAGGCTCAAGCCCAGATCTGTCTTATCTGAAATTGGAGAATTACACTAGGTTTTTAAACACACGTTCTAATATTTTGAGAGGGCCACAGATTTAGTATGTTTGACATGATATTCACCGGTAGGAGGCTCAAGCCCAGACCTATTCAACATCGAACACATGAAATCGGAAGTATATTCACGATTTAATTCCAGTGCGTGTTTTTGACAAGTTTAATTTAATATCATTGAATATTTTACAAGGGGCCGCAGATTAAATACACTGAATTACTAAATTCTCAGGGCCCGCAGCTTCCTAACATTGATGAACAGACTTGCATTTCAGAGCCAGCTACAGAATTTAATACGGTAACAAGACGTGATTTTGGAAGCCTTGTCCGAAAGTGAAGGCAGAAAAGAACGTGACTTTGGAGACCTTGCCCCCCAACCGAAAGCGGCAGACGTGCATTGGAAGGTTCGAAGATGAGAAACGGAATCGTTTAGCAATGTCAGCCAGCCGTCTGGAATCCCAAATTTTTGGTTGCAGACGGCTAACTGGATACGCCAGAGGCCAGAGGAATGCTCCAAAGCGGGTCGCCGGGGCTCATAATCGGGGGAGGGGATGAAAAGTATAGACGAGGTGCCAGCCGAATCACAGCGATCAATTAAACTCAAAAACACTCTAGCTGCGTTGTAGCTGTTTTGTTGTTCATGTTTGGTGTCGACTGCTTGCCGACATCAGGAAAGTCGAAGCGAGAGGCCGATGTGAGACGACGTGCTCGGGACAGCACGCATGAAAATTCCTTCCGATTCTTTGGTCCACTCTGCGACTCATGCCTTTGAACGACCAACCCAAACCCTTGGGCATGACTGGACCAACCTGCACCGAGGTGCGGCTCGTTGCGTGTAGGGCCGCCCGAAACCCTTTGGTGCCAGAGGCTATGTTGCAGCTATCTTTACAACAGTCGAGACTTAATTGGGCGGGGTTATAGCGCAACCTATCCAAGTTAACGATGCCTTTTGTGTGGAAGCTAGCGAACGGCGTCTTGCACGTTTTTGTCGCTTTCGATTCTTGGCTATAGGGAATTAGCAGGGTGCAGGTAGGCCTTGCCAAGAAGCATGGGGCGTGGCAAGAACCGCGGCTGGGAGCTTCGCGTGGAAACGATCGCCTTGAATAAATTCACAAGTTGGTCCGTGTGGTTCAACACGACGCCTGAAGTGATGGTCGGCTCACTTGCAGCCAGCGGAAAGTTGAAGCAAGAACTGGCACAGCAAGACACCAAGGTGCGGCTTTTGCGTGTTGAGGCTCAACAAGTCCGTCCCGCTAGTAGCTACGCGCCTAACCTAACCAGCCAATGCAGTTGTTGTCCGAAAGGACCTTCCAAGAAAGCGAGTCCTGACGCACCTGGAGCAGAAAACTGACGATGTGCTGTTTATTGCCAGGAGCTCAAGAGGAGCGCGGGGTCAGCCGAGGCCATCCGGCTAGTAGTGTAGTAGTGGCTAGTAGCTACATGCCTGACAAGTTCAAGCATTCATTGTGTCAGGGATGTTTTGGCAGCAGAGCAGTGATGAAGCAGTTTTTTGACAGGAGTCGAACAGTCGAACAGCACCACAGTGTCGGCGCCTCATGCATGGTTCGAAGCCTTAATTTCCAAACGAGATTGTGTAGGTCGAAGACACGGGCGGTGATTCTCCAGCGGAGGCGCAAAGGCTTGCTGCATCCGTTTATGGTCTGTAAGTCCAACGAGCAGCTACCCCCTGAAAGTCTGCAGGCTCGGTCTGGCATCTGTCTGTTTCTCAACAAGCATTGGCGATGCATCTTGCAGGCAATCGACGCCCGTCGCCACCTCATGTTGGAGCATGACACTGCTTTTTTTACTGGCCGACAGCTCGGCAACGCAAGACGGATGCAAGAGTTCTTCAAGCACATCTTCCTCTCGAAGAAGCTCCACTTTGCCCAACTACTTGCGTTTCCGGCGGAGGCGGCTAAGGCCGACCTGGCTCCAACGGCGATTCCTTGTCATATGTGCGAGCAATCCTTTGGCTCCCACAAAGCTTTGAAGGCTCATCTGCGTTTGAAGCACGAGTACCAGGTACACTCACATGTTGATGCGAGGCAGGTGGCTGTGGATGGCATGCCGCAGTGTCGCTTTTGCCAGGTCCGGTTTTCGAGGTGGACAGTGCTGCAAGATCATGTGAAGCACTTAGCGTGTCAAGGGTTAAGGGACATGCACAAGCAAAGGAACGAGGCTGCTGAGACTTCTCCCAGCCGTATGCGGGGTCCCTCACCATCGCCACTCTGGGTTTCGTTACGAAGTAAAGCTCATGCCTTGTCCTTACAACAACCCTGGGACATTTACCGTGTCTTAGACTCGGAGGACTTGCGCAAGCAGCTTGCAACACAATGTGTCTTGTGTGAGCAGTGGGTTGCTAGACCAGGTGCGATCAAACTCCACTGGAGGCGCATTCACAAGCTGCAGTGGGACCAGTATCAGGCTAAGCTACATACCTGGGTCAAGCGCGCAGTCGTCCGTGCGAGCGACCTGACTTGTCAGTCCTGCCACTGTTCTCTGCCCAGGAACCGCCGACAACACAAGCTTAGATGTGCCGCAGCTTTTCAAGCAGCCGCCGTGTTGTGCGTCCCGGAGTCTGCACTTACCAGTTGCGAAACTGCGGAAGCCACACCGAGCAGCCATGTACGGGGATACTTCGTTTCAGATGGCGGAGATGTGGGGAGGAATAATGAGCGACTTTCGGTCCCCGGAGCACAAACGATTCCGGCCTCGCGAAGCCCCGGATCTCGACGAGGAGATGATCCCTGCGCGTTACTCGGACATGGCATGGAGGGAGTGGAGACAGCCGCCACCACTGCCCAGACAGGAGCGCAGCAGGCCACATCCGCAGGAGCACACACCTCACGCGTCGGAGATGTACTACATGTTGAGACCCACCGCTCGAGTGACCTTGGCGCACGAGGACTCTCTGAACATGACCAGAGCAGACAGAGGCTTCGTGGTCTTCATGCTTACTGGCGAAGGCTCCCTGCTGCCCCAGCTCCTGAAAACGTCAAAGCAGTGGAACACAGACCAGGGAATGGTGAACGGCAAATACCTCCCTCTCCGGCACGTCCTGATCAAGAGCCTGTTTACCGAGCTCAATCAGAGATTCGCAGCCGTCATGAACGATGCAAATCGGATCGCAGAGGCCAATCAGAAGGGTCTTCTAAAGGAAGGCTGCTGGCCGCGCTTCAGGTGGAACAGCGAGCAGCACAAGATGGAAATCGACGACTTGCGCACTCCAATTTCTATGCAAGAGACCAAAAATGTGATTCTGGAGGTACTTCAGGACGTGGAAGACTTGACGACGGTCCTCAAGTTCAACGCCAGACCAGGGCTCACAGACCAACCAAGAAATGGACGAGCAGTGCTAATGATGCTGGAGATCTCCCACTTCGCACCGCGACTTCATCAGAACGTGCTCAAGCTATGCGGCCATGGAGTGTTGACCCTCATCGCTGCACAGATCAAGCCGGAGACGCTGCAGCGATCCCCGATGGCTCAAGAACTACGGCGTCTGGTGTACCCTGCGAAGGGTCAGGGCAAGGGCAAGGGCAAGGGCAACAATCCCGGTGGCAGGCGTGCTCCCCACAGGCAGTGAAGGCCCGTCAGGCTGCGGTTGCCGCGGCCTTGACGGACTCGGGTTTGGACACAGGACTTGCTGATAGAGCCCGCTCCCGCACTACCCCTGTCGATACGCTCTGCCCCTTCTTCTTTCCTTACGGTTCCTTTGGCCAACCCTGACGTTGTATGTTACATCAACTCCACCGTCACTGCCCTACTATGGGCGATGCATCCCTTCCTCTGCGCAGGAATGATGCCGCACACAGCCGGCATGCTTACTTTGCTACGCGCTTACTCCGCGCAACCTCGCAGAACGCTGTGCTTGGTAAGTGCCTTAAGAGATAACTTGAGCGACTGGCCTAGTCTACACCGACAGCAAGATGCCAGCGAGTTCTACACCTACATGTGTGCGCGCCTCTGCCCCAGCCTAGTGCATGGTGCTTGGGCCTGCCGCAATATGCACGGAGACTTAGTTGACACGGTAGACCAGGGTCCCGCAGCTAATGCTATTGCTCTGCCCACTTGTCACAGATGTACTCTTGACTTCATGGTGCATAAGTCGGCGCAACAGGGGGACAGATGTGCACTGGTGTGGGCTCCGCGCATCCTATGCTTGTCTGCGCCCCGTTTTCAAGACAATGGAGCAGGATACGACACATCGCGCGCTGCACTCCAGCTCTTGCAGCCTGAGGTTTCGTTCCCTATCTTTGTGAGCTCAGGCCTCAGAACCACCTCCCAAAGATATCGACTCCGTGCGTGCGTCGTCCATCTCGGGTCCTCTATGTTTGAGGGTCACTATAAGGTCATCTTGGCCTCGCCGGGTGACGAGTGGCACATCAAAGATGACAATGCTCCAGCGTAGCTGCTCATATGTTGAAGCGCATACTTTGGCTAGTACTGACGGCTACCTTATGCTTTATGACAGAGTGGACTGACCGTCAAGCAGCATGCGCTTTGACAGCCACTGTGGGGGACACAGTGACTAGCCCTAGATCGGTGCAAAGCCACGGGATGTGCGCACTTGCCTGTTCTCGCTCCTCTGTGCCTGCTTAACAGCTCTGCAGCCGCCTGCGGGGCCTGTTGCCTTGCTTGCTGGGATGTGGTTGCCATGTTCCTTCAGCACGCATCCTTCGGTGAATGCCTGTACAAAGTAACCGCCTAGCTGGTTTCACAAGACGTGGACGCCATATTTTACAATTTTGACGCCTTCTTTTTTCTCATCTTCTCTCGTGGTGTGCGTTGTACTAGACCTTTCGAGGTAAGTCTCTTACTTGCTGGGTGATTCAGAATCCCGGGATTGCTTCACTTCCCTAGTTGGAGCCGTCTGTAGATACGGATGTAGCGTACGCTGGTTAGCTGCANNAGCTGACTGCGTGTGGAATGGAAAAACGAAGAAGCTCCGTTGTTTCATTACGCTTTTCGGCTGCCGCGATTGCTGCCTGAAAGCTGCCGTGACATACATCTTACGTTACACGTTGGCAACAGCACTTGCTCCCATCATGCGATCATGGAGAAAAGCAGCAGCCAGGAATTCGATACCAAAATCTGCGCCTCCGCGCTCAACTTAATCATTTCGCTAAGGTGCCACCAAGACAGTTCTGTTAACAGCATGGCAACTTGCATTTTGTGCTTATGCGGCATAGTACGTCTACCTAGCACGTTCTGATGTATCACTGAGTAGCTAAGCTGTCACCGGGACAGTTCGAAACTGCTGAAAAGATGGCCGAGTTATTGTTTTTGCAGGGACACTCCGGAGCGCAGTGAGGTCGGTCAAGGTACTGCGATACGACACGGGTGTCTCTGTATGTGGGCCACTGTAAAGCAGAAGAACGTCGTCATTTTGTGGGTAAGAAGCTGCATACATTTATGTCCGACGCTTTTGCTAACTCTAGCCACTCTAGTCTCTAGTCAGATCGCAAATGGCCCGAAAGGGTAGGGTTTAGGGTTTA